TTGACGGTGGTTGGGAATGTCGTGCTATTTAAGTCAGAGCTGCACTGGGCGGGCGGATGGCTGTCTGGGTTGGGCCGTGTACGTTGATGGCGCACCGGGGTTAAGAAGGCCAGTGGATTGCCAATAATGCAGTATGTTAACGGAGTTACCCCTCCAGCCGTCACCCCTTTCCCCCCTGCTGGCATGTCACCCCTCCTCCCTCAGAGAGAGCCGAAAGGTCTCTGCACCTCCTCTTCCTAAATGGTACGTGCTGGTGGCCATGTCCATAATGGTACCGGGTCCCCAGCTGCCACTCCCTTAGCATGCCACCTCCAACAGTGGCATAGCCTTAAATGTCCCACCCCCCCACTCCCTCGACTTTGCCATGCTCCTAACAATACCAAGCCTCCCTGGCTGTGCTCCCGCCACCCCAGATACTGAAGAACCGTGTGGTGCAGCTCTGACTTGAGTTATCTGTACTGACAGTTACTGCCAATAACCGGCTACCGATCCAGTCTGGTTATGTTCGGTCAGTTAGTGACCGGTTTATTACCTGTATTGTACCGTGTGTGTATATACATAATGTGTTTGTGTGTGTATATATATAAATATATACCAATTTACATGAAAACCATGTTTTTGAGCAGATCACTTGTAACCGAAATCTCTTTTCGGATGTTTTATAATGATTTCTCCTGTCATGTTTTTCTTCCGCGGTTTTGTTTTTCAACTCCTTAGATTTCGTTTCCTATGATTTTATATATGCGCGGACGCCCACGATTCTTAACATTTCTGTGTGTCTTTTTGTTGTCTAGGTGTTTTGAGTTAGCGCAACATCAAGATGAATATACAGATTCTTGCCATTTTAGGTGTCTTAATGTCTTTTTTTATTGTTTTTTTGGACTGAATTAAAGCTAGAAATTTCATGATGTGACGTTGTGTGTTCACGGAGTTTCTGGTGGCACCTCCCTTCTTATTTCATCGGTGTTAACAAAGGGCTTCCAGTTTTGCAGACCGAAGCAGTTTCTGCTGTCAGGCAGAGCTGATGAGCCCTGGTTCTGCAGAACTGCAGTCCAGCAATTCTGAAATCAGCAGCTTTCTATGACTTGGAGCACAAATGTTTGTGAGTTTGATAGCTTTAATGCAGTAATTAGCTCAAGTAAGTGAGAATAGGCCAACTATAGTCCATTAATTCGATGGTATTGGGATTTGCTTTCTCGTCTTCCTCTGCATAATTGGCCAGATTCTGCTAATTCAATCGAGACGTGCTCCGGGGACAGACACCCTTGCTTCATATGTACAAGCAAAATGGGTTTATGGTGCTTAAGAAGGCCCATTTTGTGACTTTAGGGTCACAGTTTAGGGGGAACCCTAAACCCTGCTGGACTGCAGCTGTGCAGGACCAGAGAAGGACTGCTTTTCTGTCCAGACGCAGCCATCAAAAGTAAGTTACACCCCTGCAGCTCAACATGTGGCACAGAACTGAGCAGGTGAGCTCAGCAGTGCAGGTGTGTATTTCTTGTGTTGTCACAAAGTAGCAGGACAGGAAATGACCTCAAGTGGTAAGTTTTTTTTTATGTTCTGTCACACATCTGGTGAAAGAGTAACGAAAAGGCTTCACTAAACAGATAAAATTGTAACAAATTTTAAATACTGAATCACACAAAACATTAGTTGCACTATATACAAAAATATTTGTGTGTCACAGGCCTATGTTCTACACACCCAGGAACTGAATGCTAGCCCTGTAACCTGAGACACTATACAATACCTTGACAAGCCAACAAGGGATGTCCCCTGCAACCTAAACAAAAAACACATGATCTAGTACTAAATCTCCCTTCCTTTAACCTGGATGCCCGAAAGTGAATGGGAATCTATCTCTATTCTAAAAAAAAACAACCGACTAGGAGAGAACGCCTTTAGCCTGGGGATTCAACAATAAAGGAAAGCAGAATTTCCTTGCCACAAATGGGTCGCCAAGCTCCCTATAACAAGGTTCAGATTACTTAGCTGGAATCTGATCTCCAAGACCGATCAGGGCAAGGTCCTGTCCTATGCATAAGTGTAGAGGAAGTGAAGTATAATGGTGTCTCCTCTCAGTTTCACTCCCATCTTTATCCTGTGTTGGAAACTTCAAATGATTTATCAAGAAGTTAATGAAGTAGAATAAACCAGGAAATCCTCTTTCATGATTTGTGTTTATTGGTTTCTCAGTCCACCTCCCCCCTCCTCAGATGAAACCCATTGTTTTTTCAATATTATAGCCTTCCCCGGGTTGTAACAATATATTTTTATTTGCCCAAAATTTTTCCAGAGCAACATTCCATTTACTTGAAAAGCTGTGTATTTTTAGTTCAGGTGAAGACAGTAGTGGCCCAGCAGAGAGTGGAACCCCCACCCTTCCAGTTATAGCCCCCTGACCACTGCTCCACCATGCTGCCCTCTCTGGTTCATGCAGGAGCTGATGTAGATGCTTATGCAGCAGGTTGATATTTCTACCATGGATCCTATGTCTTATAGGGAAGCGTGACAGTTCCAGGACCACGTTGATCAGTCATCTGTCCAGCTAACCCATGAGTCTGTCCAGCCCACAGCTCGCTGTATTACTGTAAGGAAGGCTGATGCAGGGCATGCCAAGCCCTGCTTCAGCCTGTGAGGTCCTGACAAGTTGGAACCCTTGAAAAGAAGGCGAGTCTGACAAATGTATGTGTCTTGTCTTGCACCTGTTGCCTGCTGGGCTAGGTTCTGGCTCCTCCACAACCCTGTACTGGATAAAGTGGTTAGAACATGGATGGATGAGCATGCAAACTCCACACAAAAGAGTCTACATCTCTGTATCCTGCCCAGGACACGAGTCATGAGCTGCTCTGTTCTTTGTTACATGTTCACACGTACTAAAAGATTGAATACCCCTGGTATGCTTGGTTGTGTTCCATATATCCTTGTTTTAATCCACAATATGAATTCTCCCTTTCAGGGAATCCATATTGCACTCTGTCATTCACTGCAGTGTCACAGCCTGACGTGAAAAACAGGTAAGAATTCGAACAGACTTCATGAAAACATAAAAACAAACATGATTGTGATGAATCCCCTGTCTGCTTCTCCTGGGCTCTGGCTTCGCCAGTGTTTGCGGGTCCCCCTGCTCAAGTCGTTGACCTCCCAGGATCCCGCAGTGGTGTTCAGAAACACAGGAAGACCATTATGACATTTTGGGTGGTGGTGATCTGTCTGGTTTACTTTCTAGTTTATGTAATGCTCTAAAGAAAAATCAAAGAAAATTCTTACTTAAGCAAAAAGCAATGTGCAGTTCCTATCCCAGTAAAACGCAGAGGACTGGCTGGGCCTGATCAGTACCACATTGGGAGTGGCAGAAGCAGCAGTAGTTCTAGGACAACAGAGATGCCATGTTGTTCCTGGTCCGTACTCTGGGTGAAAACGAGGTTGCTGATGTCAGTTGTGCTGCTGGGCAAGTAGGTGGTGATCTACAGTCATCATGAGAATTTCCATTCTGTAATGCCAGGGATAGTGTGCTATAAGCTGTGTATTCCTTTAGATGTGACCTCAGACTGAGGTTATTTGGTCAGTAAAGATCCCACTGACAGTAGGTGTGTTAACTGCTGTGTCCTGGCTGAACTCCACTCTGACCACAAGGGGGAATAAACACAGGAATAAAAGAAAATAAGGCTTTTATTACATCCAGCGTTACTGTATTTTCACAGATCTGTGAGGTACTCAAAAAGTTGCCTAAATTTTAATATTTTTCTTATTGGGTTGGGGGCCACATTTTAAGGCTGGAATATAAGAGTAATTGGCATTTTTGCAAAGGCAGCAAACTCACTATAGTATGCTAAACGTGATTTTAAAAGTATTTACCTAATATACAACCATGTCAAGGTAACTTAATACACCTAACACAAAAACACATGTTTTTTTTAATCTAATTTTACTTTAGCACAGCATTTTTGGCATGTGTATAAATGCCCTGGAGAATTCAAGTTAACATGCATACAGAAGTGCTTCTCAGAACATAAGAATTGTTACAAACAAGAGGGATCATTAGACCATGTCTATCTTGTTTGCTGTAACTTTGATTTCTTGAAGGAAGCTAAGGTACTGGCTTCATCAACATGGGTGGGTAACTTGTTCTACACTTCCACGGCCCTTTGTGTAAAGATGTTCCTCCTGTTCTCAGTTTTAAATGCACTTACATGTAGTTTCCACTTGATGTCCTCTGTGATGTGTTTCACTGTTTATACTGAAGAAATCCAATGGGATGACTTTATCAGTCTTTTAGCATTGTAAATACTTTTATCCTCTTGTAGTCTTCTCTCTTCAGGATTAACGCAATTCAGTTTCTTTTGTTAGTGAAGTTCATTCCCTGAAGACTGAAGAGATTCAGTTCCTTCTGCCTGTCAGTGTAGTTCATTCTCTCAGGATCCAGAATGTATCTGACAGCTCTTCTCTGGACTGATTCCAGAGCATTCATAATTTTTGTTGAATATTCTAAATCAGGTCCTCCTAGAGCATTATACAATTTTAACATTCCTTAATTCTACTTGTTTAACGTGTGTCTTTTATATACATACAGTAGCTTCTTCAAGCTCAGTGTTTGGTATTTTGTGTCAGTAATGCCTATAGCACACTATACAATTACAATGTGATGTGTGATGTGTTGTCCAGTTCCTGAGTCTTATCTACACCTTTATGAATTTCCCTTTTCAGCTTCTTCGGCACTTACAAATACTCCTATTTTGGTACAATTGACTGGTTTACTATTTCTTTACATGCTTATGTTTAGTCATTTTCCAGTCAGTAGGTAGTCCCCTGTCCTCAGGGGGAGCTGAAAGTTTGGTTAACCACCTGTAAATAAGACGAGGAAAAGTCCATTTCTAAGCATCAAAGTGCCCCGAGGTGGATGTCTTCACATCCAGTATACTGTAGGTCCAGGTCTTTTAGGCTTTTGTGGGTGAAGTTCCAGAAACCATCTCTGCAGTCTTGCTTGACTGTCTATGAAGAATTTAAATCATTAGGAAACCCTGAATCGGTTGTAACATTGCTTTATTTCACATCCCCTGGTTAGATTGTACCTGTGCCCTGATCTGTTAAAGACCTCGCTGAGAAAAGCTTTTACATATGTACGATATTTACGACATTAACAGCACAGCGACGTTCACAGCAAGGCAGACCATACAGCAAATGCTATAGTAACCATAACATTTAAATTGAGGCTTCTTCAGGTTAAAACCAGAAACAGTGTACACAGGACTTTCCTTCTAGCCCTATTTGTCTCCTCTCTCTGTATTTATTTACACTGGATTTGGGTTGCACTGCAGTTTATTGAGATTTACGTAACAGTATTGGAACGTTTACTACTCTGTCTCTTTCTCTGTTGCCATGCAGTCCTGCAACACCACAGAACCCTGCCTGTGTCTCTCAATATTACTGTTTTCATTATAGTACCATCTTCAAACGCAGTCTTCAAGTCTCAGAATGACAGAGTCCTCAAACACAGTCTTCCAGTCTCAGAATGGCACACTCTTCCTGTCTGAGAAAATGCACAGACACCCACCATGGTCTTCCTGTCTCAGAATGGCACAATCATCAAACACAGTCTTCCTGTCTCATAATGGCACCATCATCCAACATGGACTTCCTGTCTCAGAATGCCATAGACTTCCTATTTGGTCTTTGTGTCTCAGAAAGGTATGGTCTTCCAACATGGCCTTCCTGTCAGAGAGGCACTAAGGCCATAATCAACAGTCCCAGGGAAGACAATCCCAGGTGGGCAGTCACAGTGCTCCCCCTGGACTTGGTAATGCAGGGACAGCCAAGTGACCGTAGGCACTCACGATACTCCTGCCTTCCCCTGGGGGGCGCCAGAGAGGAGGGGCCTATAGAAGGCTGGGTCAGGGAAGGATCCGGACAGTCCAGCCAATCATAGGCTGTTGATCTTGGGTAGCCAGGCTCAGGGTAGGAGCCTGGAGAGGGGAACCTCCAATAGAGGTGACCCTTGAACACGTAGGTGTAGCCTAAGAGAAAGGGAGAGACAGGGCTTAATGCAGACAAACACGATAGACAGACTAGAGCACTTCAAAAGTAACACATACTGTACATAAACATTTGAAATCACACCCAACATATCTCCCTCAGCTCTCGATAAGCCTCTTTCCCTAACTTCTCTTGGTCTTCCCTCCTGAAACTGTCTTGTCTTGTTCTTGTACAACATAAGGACATGAAAAGTTGGAAACGTGCTAATGTGCTTGTTTGAAAACTAGTAGCTTAGGGTCCAGCTTCTACAGTATGTCTGTGGTCCGGACCACCACCTCTCCTTGTGTAGAGAAGTGTCTCCTTTGGTCCATCTTAAGTATAATTCCTCACAATATCCACTGTTTCCCTCACATCCTTATGACGATGAGGAAAACGAAGTAATCCATTTGATATGCATTTTCTCATTTGTGGTAACCTGTGTAAATGATTCATTTTACATATATGCCAATTTCTGTTTGTCCAAGAAAAACTTGATTAATAGAACAGTGCATCTTTTCCTGACGTCACAGTGGTCTCTGATTGGAGGGGCAGTATGTCTCTTCTTGATGTCACTGTGGTCACTCATTGGAGGAGCAGTGCAGGTCTTGGACTGCACTTTGTTCTTTGTTGCTCTGGCTAATCCTTGTTGTTATGCCACCGGTTATGGGGGATCTGTTAGAAGTTCCCATATACCTCTGACCCCCGCCCTGCTCCCTCTCTGTCTCTCACCGTCTCCGTCCGTGGTAATTCCATCGACACCTCCCTCGATTAGCTCTTTCCAGGAGGGGTCTCCCATGGCTTCTTCCCACTCCCCCCACACCACCCTGCCAGCCTGGGGGTCCCACTGCAAATCTCCCTGCAC